TAATGGGCAGAGCGAGTGCAGTGCACGAGAGCGTTTGAGGCGTAAAGAGTTGGGCTTAACACGAATAATGATCAAGAAACACAGCTAGAGGTGGGCGGATTGATAGTGCACGGTATTGGGGATGCTGCCTCCCCACCTCCAAAAAAAAAAAAAAAAAAACAAACAAGAAAAACGGTTGCGTGCTGCCCCAGCCCCCTCCCTCAAGCTCCTCATTCCACTCTAGCCGTGCCATTTCCACTTGGATCATTTGGACACTTGTGACATTTTCTTAATTGAAATGATGCGCGTTTGTTGATAAAAAAAAAAGAAAGAACGAAAAGTTCTCTGCCCCTGCGTCTCACACGATTTTGTTGATTATTATTACTGTTCATTATTGTTCATTATTAAATGAGCGTGTATGTATGTGAAGTGTAGTGTGGTGTGGTGTGGAGCGGTGTGTGCTCTCTGGCATTTTTGTGTGGGCATTTGATGTGAACTGGCTGGCTGAGTGGCCACTTGCGACTTGCCAACAACAACAGCAACAGCAACAACAACACCAATACAGCAATGTCTTCATTAGCCGAAAGACTGAGGCCACAAAATTTTGCGCCTTTCACAAAAACCAATGCAGTCAAATGCACTTCCTGGCTGCCAGGCTGCCTGCCAGTCTGCCAGCCTGCCCGACTCCCTGCCTTATGCCTAAGTATTGCTGCAATAAAAAAATCAAGTCATAACATCAGCAGCAGCAGCAGCAACAACAACACTTTGGAAAAATTGGCACATCAAAAGCTGCTGAAAATCCTTTCAAGATCTCTCCCGCTTGCTCCTCTCATTCCCCGTTGCCACGCCTCGATGCATTTACGAGCGATAATTATTACTTTAATTATGTTTTAATTAAAGGCATGCCGCAATTGGCCACTTTTTGATTTCTATTTTATGCACGGGTGGGCGTGCAGCAGCAGCAGCAGCATCAGCAGCTGAATACAAAAACAAACATAAGTATGTACTGACGAGTATGCAGCGCACATAATTATGCACTTGCAGTTGCAAATTTTATGATTTGCCTGCTTTAAGTGACAACATGATGATATGACGTCGACGTCGACGTCGACAGCAGCAGCAACAACAACGGCGACGCCAACTACGGCGGCATTTTCTGTTATTTTTAATGCGCCACCAGCTTGCGGCTCATTTTCTTGTGCCGCCGCGTTGGATGCATTTTTATGCGTTCGTCATCCGTTTGTCATAAAGCAACAACAGCAAAATTATAAATATATATACACATATATCCAGCTATATCAGCAACCACAATAACAACAACGCTGCAGCAAAAACAACTAATTTTAATTCTTTTTTTTTTTTAATATTAAATCACTTTTTTATTTCGCTATAATTTTCCTGTCTGCAACTATTTATGCACTAAGCGTTGGCGCTTGGCATTTTTATTTTTAAATATTTCTGCAAAGTGGTCCTAATGCATTTTTCAGATACGGCGGCGGCTTTACGCGATTTTTTAGACATTTTGACACCACCATAATGATGTCACATTTATTGTTTATATATAGTTTTAATTATGAGTCAAGCTTGTATTAAAGTGCTAAATAATTACAAGTTTTAGAAATTCTTAACAAATTCCTCGAATCGTTTGCTAACAAAGTAATTTAAATTCTTTTATTAATGGCTGGAGATCAATGTTAAGCTTGGGAACAACGAACTCAACGAAATCTGGATTATATTGGATTTTTATATCAAGGAATATGCTGTATATATAAAATACAAAATATGCTGGCTTCATAACTTTTTGTAATTTATTTTGTGTCTGATTTATTAAGGTTTTCTTGAGAACAAATTGGAGCACGAATACCATAAATTACACAGCCATAAAACTAGGCATGACACTCCATAATTTGGATAAAATATCCCCAAACACGAACAAGTTCTGCGTACACTTTTTTCTTGAAACATATCGATCAAAAATATTCCTAACTTATTTCGATCAAATGTAACTTCATTCGTTATTAATTCAACGAAGTTCAATAGGTTTTAAAGAAAATTTTCTGAAACTGTTTTACGGTTATCTATATATATAAAACTGTTTGTCCTGACTGACTGACTGATTGGTGATCAACGCACAGCCCAAACGGTAAAAGCTGGGACTCAAGTATCCTTTCATTGCCTAGGTTGGCGATAAGAAGCGATTATGGAAAATTCGAGCTCCAAAGGGAGAATCTGGTTCCAGCGTTTGTATGAAAAATTTACAATTTTCATCTGATTAGCTTCAAACTTAGTTTTTATACCCTCTGGCTTAATATAAATATCCAAGAAACAATATTAACATCAAAGAATGAGCAGACTTTTACTGCATATATGCATTTTAATGTATTTTTTTTAAAAGAAATCAAAAAATAGCCAATAATGAATTTAAGAGCCAAATAATATTAAAATATTGATATTAAACATTTAAAATACAATCCTGAACATAACTACAAACGAAACAAGTTCTCCCTTAAAACAAAGACATACGAGTATTACTTTAAAAAATTATATTGTGCTAGCCATTAAGGAGTAATCGTCAATCCTCACCACATCAGAAATAATAAATCAAATACATAACACTACTAGTGGATCGATTATACACAGAGTAGCAAATGCAAATGCTGATAATATTACATATAACTTTAAAATTCAGATCGCGTTCTCTTTAGCTGAGAATGGCATAAAAAGAGTTACTGAAATGAATGCTTTGAAGCTCATAGTTTTCCCATATATGCCCCATTTCAATTAATAATTACATTTCCATATAATACTCCCCTTTTTCTGAGAATGGTACAAATAGATTTGGCTTCATCTTCATTAATTTTGCACTTGAGTTTGTCACAAATTTATTGAGTGTTAGAGGGACGTCGAAAAGTTTGATGTGAAAACAAATGAAAACAAAAACAATGACAAGCATTATGCTTGGAAAAATGTACTGCATATATACACACAGTTTTATACCCTTTTACCCTTTGGGTACAGTCTATTATTGAATAACTTTTTTAAACTATCCTAAAAACCCGACGGGTTTGTTCTTAATCGAAAACTGTATCTCACGTCAATCTGATACCTGCACCTGCAACAATCGCGATCAATCGGCGTCTTATCGAATAATAAACAAACAAAAAATTAACTCATTAAATGCAAATGATGGAGGGTCAATTGTCATTGCATTTGTTCACATATTTCAAGTACTTGTGCATAAATTGTAATGCTCGCAAAAAAAAAAAAAAAAAACAAAAAACAAAACGTGCATAGCCACATAGTACACACTATTTGAACATTGTTGGCCCATTAGGGCCTCTCTTCCTCTCTTCCCAGACCCCTAACTGGCCACCCCTAACTGCCCACAACTATGCATAAAACTAATTGCAAATGCGACTAACAAGGCGTGCAAAACGAGTTATAAAGTCGGTGGCAAACGTCAGAGCGGCTCACAGCGCAAAACTAAATTCTGTATTAATTTGCAATTAATGCAGCTAATTATATTTAATTAAATGAACGAGCAACTGCAGCGAACAATGCAGCTAACGATGTGAGGCTATAATTTTTTCTTGATTTTGTTCGTGTTTTGTTTTTGCTTTTGCCTTTGACTTAAACTGGGAAACTGAAAGCTAAAAACTGAAAACCAAAAACTGAACTGAAATAGAAAAGTGGCGGGCAGGTTGCCCAGTCTAGTCAAATAGGCGGTCAACCATTTGGAAAATGAAACTTATTATTACGATTGCTATTGTTAGTGTGGTTGTTGTTGTTGTTAATATAGCTGCGAGTGTGAATTGCACTAGTGGCAGAGTGACTGCAGTCAGCTTGTATTCGTATTGTATCTCATAGATACATTTACAAAATTGTACGAGCGTTTTGCAAATTTCTGCTTGCCTGCCTGCCTGCCTGCCGGCCTGGCCTGCCTATTCAAAAGGCAATTGTAATTTTTGTGTGTTTATGGGGTGCTTTGGCATCATCATTTGCAAGGCTTAGCACATTAAACTATTTATATGTATTATCTACAGTGTAGCTTTTCATATCACACTCACACACACACACATACATATGTACATATATATGTTTATGTGTCTCATTGTTGCAAATTGCCGTCGTCGACGACGCGTCGTAGCAGTCACTGCTGAGCTTATTATTGTTATTATTATGAAACGCGTTAGTTTATTATTATTTATTATATTAGTGCTTTTATTATTAGACGTCCGTATCTATTTTGAGTTCCACTAAAGAAAAATGAACGCCGAGTATAATTTGAGCCTGGGCTGAAAACAAACAACACATTTTTCACAACTATTCATGGTTTATTGCAATTAAATTTTAGTGCTTAAATTAATTCGATTAAATGTTAACTTAATGGCCGCAATGATGCAATTTAAAAAAAAAAAATTTTATAGAATTTTGCAGCAATTTGTTTGCTTTGAATTGGCTGCTGAAAGTTAAAGTTGCTGTTGATGCCTGACCATGGGAATTATGCTTGATTAGAGTTATTTGCGTTAACAATTTTCGCAATTTTTGCATAAAAATCAGATAAATTAAGGGGTGCTCTATGCGTTCGGATGTCAAGGTTGAAATTAGCATAAAAAATGCATTTTCATTTGTTTCAGTTTTTGGAGTGCGAAATAAGCAACAAAAAAAAAAAAGATATCTCAAGATGGCAGTTACATATTAAAATTTCAAAATGTTCGCAATAAAATAATTGTAAGTTTATGAGAGTAATTGAAAAAACTATTTCTATCTGTGAGTGGCTAAACAAAATTGTAAGCTTGTTTCCAATTTGTGTATCCTCAATATTTGTTTGTAGTTATGGAATGTGGTTGGCATTTACATGAACAAATTTAAAGCCTCTGATTTCTTTTCTTAACTGAACAGAAATATACAGAGAATTCTTTTATCATTTTCGAAAAGAATTAAGTTTTCATTTATCTTCTAATACCGCATTGTCCATTACAGAAACTAAAACTAAATGTATTTCATATATTGATATTTACCGTTGTATTTTGTTTTTACTTTAGCCTCAGCAATAAAGATGGTATATGTATGTAGCACGATTGTTTGATAAATTTGTTTGATAACGCTTGATTGAGTCGCACTCTAGATAATCAAATTTCTCTCACTGCACACAAATTGTAAGTTGTAGAAGAGTTTATGGGAATAATTTTGTTGTAGATATATGGAACTGCTCTTGATCTTGGTCTGGAAAACTGTACACGCACAAACATTTAGTTTTTCAAGTCAACATTTTTGCATGTCATTCTGTCGTGGATGCCGCACTCAGAGGTTTAAGCCGCGAGCTTACAAGCTCTCGATCGCGTAGTCTCTCGCTCACCTAGCAATTAATCACACGTTGTTCGGCTCGAAACAAGAAGAGGAAGAAGTGGATGTTGCAATTGCAAGCCACACGCGACGACGCGCTAAAGATTTTTGTACACGCGCGAATTCTTTTCCAAGGAAATATCTTTTCTTTTTATTGTGTTGGTGTTGGTTTTGTTTTGTTTGCTTGCTAGCTTACTGGCTGGTTCATGTGTTACAGAGCCGGGCGGGCAGCTGTTAAATGTTGTTGATACTTTTGTTATATTGCTGTTGCTTGGCACACGCCGGCAATGGAATGCACAACACACTCGTTCGCGTTCCGTTTTCTTTAAAGATGAGTGTGTGTTTATTTGTATTTGTATTTGTGAGTGTAAGCGTGTGTGTGCGTACGTGCAGTAACCGTGCGTGTGTGTACGAACAGGCGCAACGACGTCCACAGACTGAATGAACGTGTGGCGCACAAACGGCGCTTGGACCCCCAACAATCATCAACATAAGTAGCAAGCGGCAATACCAACAACAACAACAGCAACTACGAGTGCAACTTACGACAAACACGAGCAAACAAAATCATTTGCCGAAGCCGCAGCCGAAGTCACAGCAATGGCTACACAAAAGCTCAGGAGGAGTGAGCGAGTGCGATAGAGAGAGGCCCACAGTTGACGACGACGACGACGAAGCGTCGACGCGCCGCAGTTGACTGCAGCGTTGGCGTTGCTGTTGCCGTTGACTGCTGCGGCTGTTGTTGTTGTAGTTGTAGTTGTTTCTCGTGCCTGTTTGTTGAGGGGGTGGGCTAATGTGCAACAAAACGGCTCGTTCGCTCGTTCATCGTCGTTGCCGTCGTCTCAGTCGGCATTGTGGTTGCTGCTGCGCAGGAGTAGAAGTAGCATGAAATATATTACTGCCTGCCAAACCGCTCCGGTTCCGTGGCCGTCGCCGTTTCGTTCACAACAGTTCGTTGTTAAAATAAAAATAATGACGTCATTAAGCGCACAAATGAGCGCTGCCGCTACCGCTGCTCATGCCCCACACTAAAGCGTCGACGTTGCCGTCTGGACAGCGCTTATAACTGTTTTATGTGCAGGAGAAGCGCCCACTTGACGAAGCGTATACTTAACGAGCTCACAGTGAGAGAAAGAGAGCGCAAGCGAGTGTAAGAGAGAGAGCGAGAGAGAGAGAAATAAAGAGGGCGCACAAGTAAATTTGAGCGCAATTGTTGCTATTTGTAATTGTTGTTGTCGTTTATTGGGACGATGGGGATGCTTACCACCACCACTGCTATGCGTTTTGCTTAGATGTTATTTAGGGCGGCCTAAGCGCCAACTAATTTGTATTTGTTTTATATTTCTTTTTCCGTAGATATTTTCCATGAATAACTTATCGATAATTTATATTTGGTTGCATGAAATACACTCGTATGTATGTACTGTACACGTATGTAAATGAATCATACATATTTCTCAGGTATTCTTCTCATTACGGAACAATGTTGCTATCGCCAAAGTGTTAATGGATTTTTAATTTCTTTGCTTTAATTTTTACGGTTAACGTTTTATAAGCTCTTAAGCTTCTTATTGTTTAATTCATTTGGTTTTTCTAACTCATATGAATGATATATCAATTATTTATAGCATCGGGGACGGCAGCCCATTTACTTGTAGTGGTGAAAACACCACAACATTTTAAAAAAGTTGACTATTACAGGATTTATAGCGGTTTAAATGACAATTTTTAAAAAGCGAGCCATTGGTATTTGGAAGGTCTCACCATTCGATCAAAATTTAAAAGTAATTTCGATGTTGTTGTATTTCATGAAAAATGTTTGAATTTGTAGCTGTTTAAATTTTATGTTTTTATGTGAAAATGTAAAATATTAAGTTAATGCAGTTCCTTTGAAACCAGACATAAATAGATAAAAATGTCACTTGCTCAGTTGGTTTGAGGGTTTGTTCTACATACATATACACGTACATATAGATTGAAAGTAAACCTAGGAGTACAACAATGAAATTATGGTTGTGGGGCTTTCAAAATTATGTAAAGGAATGGCCACAGAAGCCCTGTACTACGAAACGTACAGTCTCAAATAGTCTGCAAGGACAGAACATTTTATGAAACTAAGTTCATTTAGCTTTCTTGTTTTTTCGTTTAGATGCTATATCCGTTTGAAAACTTGACGGGAGTCCGGTAAAAATTAGTTCAAGGTTCCAATATTTTGTAGCTTAAACAGACTATATAAATATTCCTACTCTTCTTGTAAAGTAGTTACTTTTCATTATCTGTTTAACTCGACACATTTGATCGATCCCTGTGACTATACTACCCATTGCATACAGCACACTAATATTTGCAGCTACATATATAAGAATATTACTTAGCCTTATCCTTAAGAAAAAGACATAAAATTACATAGACCCATTAGGTTTTTCTGCTTAATGGATATGACTAATTGAAGTAAATAAGAGAAGCAATGGGAAATTTCTACTTCTACATATTATGCGTGGACAAACTTCGTAGTACCTTAGCGATACTTAAAGTATAGATACGTATATGTTCATCCGAACGTGGTTTTCCATTTTCACAACTCGGCTAGCTTGTCTTCTATGTTTCAATCGTTATTGCCTCAGGAGTAGGAAACACTGCGAGCGAAACACATGATTATATGACTGTGAATTGTATTAATTTGGAGCTAATTAATTATTCGTGACTAAAAATATATATATCACTTATGTACACAGCAATATAACTTAAAACTTGAGTTTATACTTGCGTAAAACTGTTAAACATCTTTCCATATAAAGACTAACCAAGCAGATTCAAGATTTTTCCGCATGATTGTACTTGGTTAACAAAATTTTAAACTGAGCCTACTCTTGCGTACACTCTTACATAGGATTAGTTTAGGCACAACAGTGCTGATTTTTCTAATCGCTAAGAATTTTATTCCCTAAGATCCCACTACTGTATATATTCATTTTGGTAATTTCAATCAACATTTTTATACAATATTTTTGAAAATTAAAATAAATTTTTAGCATAATTATTGCAATCCAGCTAAATTGAGGGAATCTTGTCCAAGACATTTTAGAGCTCTATTTAAGAAATTCCAGTAAATGTATTAAAATATAATATAAATAGAAATTGAGGCTATTCACGAATTAGCCTTTAGTAGAACATTTTCATGGCAAAACTTTTTGTTACGAAATAGACAACAATTACAATTTTCCACACTTACCCACACCCACAATTCGGGGAGCAGTACCTTCGTAGCCACTAAAACAGCTTCAACTATTGAAATCAAATTAATAATTCAACTATCAATCCACAGTCTGAGCTGTCAAGCAGTCATTCGCTCACTTGCTACATTTGTCAAATGCCATTCCACAAAACTTATGTCTTTATGGCTGTGTGTGTGTGTGTGTGTGTGTGTGTGTGTGTGTGTGTATGTCCGTTTGTGTCTTTTGTTCACCCAAAAGGAGCTCCTCCTCCTGCCTCAGCCACAGCATCATAGCCACACACACTAGCACAAAAACACACACACACACGAACTTAGTCTGGACAAACCGAAAAGTGCCAATAAATAAGGTCCGATGCTGCACTGGCCGCCTTTTCCAGTTGTTGTTGTTGTTGTTGTTGTTGGTGTTGCTGCTCTTTGCTACCTCTTGCACTAATTCACATTTGATGTTTTGTTGTCTGTTGCTGTTGCTTGCATTTTTCTGGTCAATGAGGTTAGAGTCGTCGTCGTCGCCGCCGCCGTCGTCGCCGTCGTCGGCATTGCGAGTACCGAGAACCATGACCAAGTCACTGGACAAGCCAACTGACCATTGCCGACTGGTTGTCAGCAAAAGGCAGAAGATGAGACGATGACGCTGGCTATAGCGATGGCTACTCGTGCGGTCTTCAACCAGTTGCCACCCACCCGCCTCAGCTATCGGAGGTGTCGATGACGTCGCCATTCTATGCTCCACACCGCCTGCCTGCCTGCCTGTCTGTCTTCCTGTCTGTCTGTCTGTCTGTCTGGTGGTCTGTTCATTTTCCAGCCTGCCGTAGACGTTTCTCTCAACGGCAGTGTCAGTTGTTGCCGTTGCAGTCGTTGTTGTTGTTGCTGTTGTGTTATTTCTAGCCAATTTTGGTCAACATTTAAGTGCTGTTGCTGCCACTTCAGTCATGTATATATGTATGTATGTATGTGTGTGTGTGTGTCTGTGTGTGTATGCATGTGTATCTATGCCTGCTTGCCTGCTTGCCTGCTCATCAACTTAATTTACGAAATTTTCTCGTTGTTGCCTCTCAGCTGCCTGCCCGCCTGTTGTCTTTATGTCTAATTTTCTGTAGCAACAGAGCAGCGGACACGGCAGCATTTTTCCTTGCAGCTATAAAAGCGTATTACCGTTAAATGTTTCAGTCGCTCATCCTGCTCACTAACAGCACTAACAACAACAACAACAACGAGAGCTCCACCACCCGCCGCCACGCAACAAAGTTGCAGCAGCGTCTAATTTACGTGCAACAGCAGCAAAAGCTTCAGAGCAACAACAGCAGCCACTGCCCACTTTCCATCTTGACTTGATTGTCATTCGTTACGTTTTGCCAGCCAGCCTGCCAGCCAGTCAGCCATCCAGCCAACTAGCCGGTGGAGTCGAAAGAGGCAAGCGGGCAGTGGGCAGCCAGCAGCCAACAGCCAACAAACTGATTAAATTCAGCACGCGCCCTGCGGGCTTCTTACCAACTTCTGCTGCAGCTTCAGCTACCGCTCTTCTTCTTCTTCTTATTCCACTTCTTTGTCGAGCAACGCTCCTGTAGCAACAACATCTTGGCGCGCTCTACATAAATTTGAAATTAACGTTTTCTATCACTTTTTGTTGTACAGAGGCTCAAACCGAACCCCAGCTATCTCATTCTGCCAAAGCTCTTGTTGCATCTACCGCGTCAATTCTGCTGATGTGGCTCGTAGAGATGAGTGCGTGATGAACAGAACCATTGATAGCAATTCATTACCACTAACTGATAAAAAAAAAGGAACTCAAAAACTAGCTTCATCTGCGCTGACAGTATACACTCTTTGCTATGTCTTTCAACAAAACGTACTTTATAGGAGAGCTTTGCTTACATCCGACTACAAAATTCACAATATGAGAGTTGGTTTCCAGAAATAAACCAAATTTCGATACAGTAGTTGATTGTTAAATGTTTAATTGCTTGTATTACAGCTAAATGATAGTGATCTCACATGGCAAGTCTTGGATGATTAACTGTGTCTTTCAAGCAAAACTACTCCTAATTCTGTTATTACACGGTAGATTGGTTCCAGACACAACCGCGTAAAAAACGACATTGGTTATATGCAAAATGAATCGGGTTAAATGGAATAAAGTCGGGTAACCATATATAATATTTTTAATTTTCAAACC